CTGTCTAGCTGTGGTGGGTAGATAAAACATTTCTATAACATTCTTCTAGGGGTGCACAGACAGAGCTAAGAAAGTGTGGTGGTCTCTCTTGGCTTTGATGTCTATAACTTGTAAAGGGGGGTGGCAGTGAAAGGAACATTTATGAGAACTATCTGTAAAGACGGAAGCCTGAACTTCAACATACAAAGCTGCCTATGGACAGTAAAGATTCTAGGAATTTGCTTTTGATGAAACTTTTTAAACAAATGGTAAAGTTTAAGAATAAATGAAGTTATTTGAACATCAGTATGTAACCTTTATGTCTGTTCACTGAACTCCTAAACTAGTGGGCGTAACCATACAATTACATTAATTTTGAGGAACACGTACTTCTTTTGGCCTCCAGTACGGCCTACATCATGTCTGCCATGTGGTTTGCAGTACCTGGAGGAGGGTGTGGCAGGAATGGCTGTATGAACACAGAAAGACTTACTAAGGAGCTGCCTCTATGTACTTTTAGGACACCAACTTTAGCTGAACGTTTTCTTCTCACTGCCAGTTATTATGCAGAGATGTCCTGGTAAACTGTGCCCTTGGAATGCACAACTACAAGTAGACTTCTGGATGGTACCCTTTCTGTCTAAAACAACTCTTAATTGTACAGGTCCCAACATGGATGGGGCACAACGGTATTATATAAAAGAGCTTGGGGGACAATAACCCAATGAAGAAAATTTTGTAGTACAATCTGGATCCTATCTAGACCTGTGAAAGAACAGTGTGTAATATCTTCTTCAGCTCCTCTGTGGTGTCTCCCAACCTTCCTATCTTATAGTCTAAAATCAACTCTGTGACTCATAAAATAAGGCCTGTTCTTTCTCCAATTCCATCAACTCCATGCCTATTAATATATCTGGGTATTTTTCCTCTTGCTGAGCAGAAGAAGATAATGATTATGTTATGCTGCATCATCCTCATCATTATCCTGGCTTCTACTATTGGGAGCTTCTTTATCTGACCCCTCATTCCTTGTTCTTTGCCACTTGACTCAGGTAAGTCGTATGCAAATACAGAAGGTTAGTGTTATCATCTTAACCGGGGCAATTGGGGTCCTCCAAATTGCTGCTGAATTTGGCTGCATTTCTATTTCCATCTGGACCAGTACAGGTCTAGTGGTGGTGAGAATGCTTCACCAGGTAATGCTTCACTGGGGCAATTGTTTGTAGAAAAATAATCATCAACTTAAAGAAGCCTATGCAATCCGGGTAAGTGAGAATAAAAGACAGACCAGATTCTTAAATTGTTAAAAACAAGTGAAAAGGTAAAAGGTATCTAATTCTAATTTGTAGGAGGAGAAACTATCTGCATATTAGGGGTGAAACCTCCATGGCCCTTTTTGGTGAATGTGCTAAAATACCACTTGCTATCTCTGCATCTTTCAGTTTTCTTTCCCTTTCCTTTCAGGATGGATCTGTAAGATGATTTTGGCCTTTCAGGCTTCTCCAGTCCTTTCTCTCCCGTGCTTCCATTTTTGGAGATGTCACAGCCAACGATTAACCTATCAAAATGTTTTAATTGGACTCCAGGGTATGAAAAGGAGAAGGAGCCAGAATAGAGCCAATGCTTAGGAACTTCAGCTTGGGATGGGGGAGTGAACATTAGAACACGGCGGTCTTTTTCAGAACAACTTCCTAACATCAACCAAACTAACTCTTGATTGATCAATCAACACTAATACTTAGGTTTAATGAGGCTTCGTTTCCAGTTATGCTGGCTCCTTCTATCCAGTGTAAAGTTTTTGGAACTGAAACCAAATCTTGGGAGACATTTGAAATGATTTTAAATGATTCTTATGGAAGACAACAATAAGCTATAGATCCCCCTGCCTTATCTTTGCTCTAAAGATACGATTCAAAATGTACATGTACCTCCTTGCTTTGAAATGTGAGGTGTTTTCCCGGCTGTACTTTCTGCTTATGCTATGTCAAAAGAAACATGACGCCTTCCAAGACTCTCATGTCCTAACTACAATGGTATGAGATTAGACATCTGGATAACAATCTGTCCCAGATTTTCTCACCTTCTGAATAATATCCAGTACAATCTTTGTAATCCTTGTCATTCCAGTCACAGATATGTATATATTTCTAGTTTGTTTAACTCTGTGACTGCAAATTCTGGCCCAAGCTGCAGACATCTCTAATGGAGGCAGGGCTCTCACATTCATAAAGATTTGTTTGGACACAAACTGTATCAACGTATCAATTTTACATACTGACTTAATACATTTCTTACATTCTGAGAGAAAGTTTGTCTTTTATTTGAACAATGAAAACCTACTTATTCAAACATGTAACATTTATTGCTTTTGATCATGGCCCCAGCTGGGGTGAGAGAGAGTGGTTGGCACATTATTCATTTGACCCTTTTAGCTTCCATTTGGGTAAAAGTCTCACATTTTCCCCTTGGAAGCGAACTAATCATTAGATACGGGAAGGGAGATCTTTGTATAATGAACTATTCTTCCTTATTCGTGCTGCAAAAGTTATTCCAGAGTTATTCTGCTAGTGTTCCAAAAGCATAGGTGTTAACAAAGGAATCTCCTGAATAAAAAGTTTATTTCATCTAGAGTCATGTGTGATGGACTAAGTCAACAAAGAATTGCTCAGATACAGTAATATGTGGGGAAAAAAATAGTTCAGGTCTTAGAATCTCCTAGGATCTTCCCAGTTCAGCTCCAAATACTGGAATAAGCTTCTTTTCCATCTAAATTTACAGCAGGTAAATACACAGATACACATTTTTTTAAAATTTTCATTAAAGGTCGTCTGCACCATCTGACTAGTATTCATTAGAGTCTT